ATAACATAATTTGTTTCTGACATTATTGTCATAACCTTAGTTTATAATATATTTTTAACAATTTAAAAAACTCCTCGTTAATTATTACAGAAGTTTTGTTCAAAAGCTCAATAAATAAGTTAATTAATTATTTATCATCTTGATTCCTTATTAAATTTGTCTCTCGGGGTGTTACATAAACCATTCCTACGTCATTTCTTGTAAGCATCTAATTATTTTACGTGAAATTAACCGGGTTGTGAGGCAATATGATGGTAAAGCCTGTTACCATCGTGTCATTTCTCTGATTTATTTACATTTAAGTGATAAATAAATCCGATAAATGTAAATATTATTGATCTTCGACATTAGGAATTAGTCCGTAATATCCAGGATACATTGTATCGAAGTTCGGCAATAAAATGCGCTTTATATAACGTCTGGTAATATATAAAAACAGCTGTTATTGTAGTATACACGAGAGAAACAAACATCACACTAAATTCCTTATTTTCTTGTCCCGTGAGATTCTAAAACTTAGACGAGGTAGAAAGAAAACCAATGATGAAATAAACAAGAAAGATGGGCAGAGTTGGTGCCAGATGCGAGAGGATGAGTGAAAACAAGAAAGATGATCGATGGAGTGGAATGATGGATAGACTCGGTGGGGACGTTAACAATAACTGTCGATTCGCTACCTAGAGAACATTCATGACACTAACAGTGTCAGTCTGATGTTCTGGAATACTATAATTCCGTTCCGATTGATGATTTGAACAAGCAGTTTTTGAAGCCCGTATATCGAGTTCCGTTAAAACGAGAGTTAACAGTAGAATATGAGTAAATTAACTTATTTCAAATGTGATCTATTGTTCATAAGACAGAAAAGTTTAGTGCAAACCATTAATTGCAAATTTTGTATACGAACAGAGAATAAAACACACATAAATAAAAACACAATACGTATAAAATAAAGCATACTATTTTAATAAAAATGAAGAATGTAATACATTACAGGGAGAGCAATACCGAGGGAAATTTCGGTAAAGGTATTTTTATATGTACAAGAACGTAAAAGACATATTAAATAAAGAATGTTATCCCCAAAACGACACCTCACGCACGCCATTCCTACTGTAGAAAAGTCTCCTTCCGCTTGGACACTACTAAAAGGAATAGACAGAAAATAATTACCTTATACGCGAACTGTAAATGAAGCTTCGAACCCTTTTCGAATGGGATCATTTCTGTTTTTACGATAGTCTCACGTTGTGGTTTGGCTTCTATTTTCACTTTGAATCGTCCCTCGTATCTCCGTATCCAATGTTTCTTAAGATAGAGTAGTTCGTGTGTTTCACGCTCAAATTCCACTCTCCCATGAATTCTTCAATCGCGTCGCAGGTGAGAATGGTTCGAGTCAACAGCGATATCCGTCGTCTTGATAATCGATCCACCTGTTTTCTTAGGGTTACTACCGATTTTATAACTCCGCTTGACGTATTTTTCGATAGAATTGAGAAGACATTCTATAGTTTGCTCCGACAAATTATTTATTTCCAAGTTTGGATTACACAAGTCCCTCAGTAGATTGCGGCGGAGTAATGCTTCTGCAATTACTCCGCCGCGATCAATTTATGGGCTTTGTAACGTCGATAACTTCCTACAACAATTGAAATTCGAAAAACTCGAAGCATAGTTATCACGCTTCTTTAACAGCAAACAATATTACACCATGAATATTTTATTATTTCGTAAACTTTGATTTTTATCACTTATTTAATATTTAATGAAATATACGTCTTATTGTGATTTAATTAATTATATTTATAATAAAAAGTATAACAAACTCTGAAACGATGTTAAAAAAAATTCTTATCAATCTTAGCCATTGTATATAATTGCGTTTATTTTTCGGTATTTTTTTGGTTTTAAGGCTTTATAAGATAAGTCTTCGTGCTTTATAATCTTGTTAAATCCTCTCTAGGATGAAATAGAATATGATTTAATATCGTCTTAAATTGGAATTGTTTTATTTTTTCACTAACAAGAGAGATTTTCTATCGAAGAATCTTCGAAACAATACATTTTAACGGATCTGCGATTCATCTCACTTTAATTGATTAAGTCTTTTAAACTGATCTAATAAAAGCATCATTATTCCAGAAGCTCAAAAAGTTCCTCGATTTATTAATGAATTCTTTCATTCTTTTATAATTTATTAATTTTAAAATAAATATTTATTTTGAAAAAAAGCTAGAATACATAAATTTTAGGTATAATAAAAACTTCCTTTCATAGGAATTAGTTATTTTATGAATGTTTCGCAATTTCGGCAATGAAATCTCATAGGAATCACTAGAAATTTATCTATTATTCCACGTAAAAGTAATTTCCTCTTTATTCCTAATGCGTGTATAAAACAATCTCAGGTAAACCTAACTGAAAAACAGAAAAGATACCAAAATCTACTGTTACAAACATTTAACCTATGTCTTATGCAATGGCATGTTTTACGTGTCTTATTTAACGTTCAAATCTTACTTTTAAATCCTCATATATTTTCTATTATAATTGTAAAAAAATTATATATTTAAGTACGTATTTTTAAAAAACGAAACGTGGATATACGTAACGTGCATAACAATGAGTTTGTATGAACCAATTAGGACATAAAAGCGAGTTCGATAGTATAATAAATAAACATTCCACTCATTAAATTATTATATTTACCAAATTGACATTTGCTTTAAATGTATGCCATGTAATATATTGCAAATATTAGTTTGGTATCAAGTACTTACAATAACGAATTCCTTGTTTGCCAATAAATATTTACTTGGATGTCGAACAAATCGTATGTCGTTTCCCTGGAATTTTAAGCAATATATTGGGATCTTGAACATCTCTATAATTAAAATCAAACACTTGGCGAAATGGAATGAAGAAAACATCTACCTGAAATTTTTAATCATATCTTTAATATAGACCTTGATTTTGGTAGTGTCTTGCCCCTGTACATCATACTTTTCCTGTTAACAATACAGTCGTGTCGGTCTTCTAACTCCATTCAGAGGAAGATTTTGAATTGAATTCGTGTTCAGATCGGACGTTCGTATATAGTTAATGAGCCTCTTGCCCTTAAGGTTTTTCATATTTGTCACAGCATTCATTTATCTAACATCGTTCTCAACAAAGGACTACAATACTGTATTATATTACACATATGAAATGGATCTATATAATTTAAAATATTAATATAAACGTCCTAAAAGTATAAGAAAAATAGTTAAATTTTATAAGTATATTTTGATATAATTAAAATAATAAAATATTCTTAAGTAGTTTTAAAAGTTTGTAAAATAATGAAGATTATTTTTTAGTTTTCCTGTTTTTTATCTAATTTTTTTAATAGATTTTTCGCTTAATTTTAGTTTTCAATTATTTAAATGAATAAAAATACATTTATCTAATGAAAATATAGTAATTATAAATTTTAATTAAATGGAAAAAGTAAAATAATAAAATATTGTATATTATAAAAGAAACAATTTTTAAAGAGTCATAAATTAATTCAGTTATATTTATATTACATTAAAGTTTCATTTTAAAATATTTTCAATGGATATATTACCTTTTCCTTTTTCTCATCCTCCTTGTTCTTTTTTTTTCGTTTTTAATTTTATTTTATTTTTTGCTTTTTCCTCTCCTTTCTCCCCATCTCCTGCTTATTTCTTCTTCTTCTTCTTCTTCTATCTGTTAGATATTTCTGTCTGTTGAGACGAAGGATTTATTTTTATGTGAAATTTCTTGGAATCTTTTTCTCTCTCTTCCTACTCTCTTTTTTCCTATTGATTTCCATTATTATATGTAACCATGTTATTATTTTCTTTATTACCCCTTCTTTCATCTCCCCTTTTCATCCATATAATTCTTTCCCATTTCTTGTATTATTTTCTTATTTTTTAATGCATAATAAAAGACTTAAATGCAATAAATAACATAACCACCCCATTTTTTCCTTTGATATCATTAATGTACTTAAAATCTTCTTTAATTAAGAATTATCAAGAACATGCTTAAGTATAACACAATAATTTAGATTAGGAATAATTGAATATGTCTTACACAGAAGAAAATCGTTTTTCTTTATCATTTTAGTTACTACAAATGGATAAAACGCATATAAATGTAGAAAATAAAAGTAATTCATTCTATAAATGATACAATAAATAAATTACAAAATACAAAAGCTTAAGGAGAAAGTCAAATATGTAACAATATCAATCTTTGGATAAACCTATATATATCAGTGATTAATCGATATAAGCTTGTCCAATAATTGGTATCGATAAATTTTCATCATTAATGATTAATGTAAGTATATCTAAGATGATCAAACAAAATATATTTTAGAAAGACCTTATAAATTAAATATGTGAGAGATAAGAATAAATGACATTATATAATTCAATATATCAATAAATTATGGCGTTTTATCATTCTTTTTTCTGTTAAAACTGCTTGGAATTCCTTGCAAGCTGTTCGTTTCTAGTGTAAAGTTGTTAATGTGGTTTCAAAATATAGCGAAATTAGTCTTTTCATTCCTCCATTCTTTAATATATAATCTACACGCCTGTATATCAAAATATGAAATGTTGAATTGTAAAGGGTCTACGAAGTATAGTTTCCTTCAATTGCCTCATAACTATTTTCGCTAAGGGTAAATCAATTAGAACGCCCATCTGTTGTAAGTAAAATTTTCCCATTGGATTGGCAAGTCAATTGAAATACATCCAAATGGCTTGCACATTTCACTTGAGTCTTTTGTCTTCTAACGATTTTTTACGAACTGTATTGCCTCAAAAGAGTTAATTTTGGGGTAGAGATGAGTTTTAAAAACATTGTAAATGCTAATAACAAGTAAAATCTTCATTGTCCCCACAAAGATATGACACTGGACCCTATCTATCTCCCATCCCTCGACCTTTAGACCTGTTCGAATGTTCTNATGTTTTTTTGGGGAAAAATCTTCATAAAAATTTGTCAATTTAAAATAAACATAGCAACGAATAAAAGATTACACTAAAAGTGTAAATATAACTAATTGTATATCAAAGCGTCTCTCGTTGTCAAACAGAACATCAATTTATACTCAAAGGTCTTTCAACACCCGAATGAAGATGATCTGTCAGTCTTGACAAAGTCAAGTCCTCTATGGAAGAGAAAACCTTTGTTACTAATCGTAATTTTTTTAAAGCGAAATGTGAAAACTAACCTGAAAATAGAGTACAAGTGTTTCAGACCATACCATATAAAAGTCGTTGGGTTGACAACCGAGTTCTATTCTTCGTCTTTCTCCTACCGGGTTTATATGGAGATTATAGCCTTGGTTCGCTTTCTCTCCGACGAGCGTCGCCGTCTACCTAGATAAATTGGCCTGTCCTTGATATGTATCGCTCGAGTATATGCATGTTTCGTCGGGTGAGTTTCCGCGTTCGGCCAATAAATTGGGGACAAAGTCCTTACTATTGTGAAGTCCAATGCCAGACTACGACCCAGTTCCTGGCCGGCCACCGCGTAATTTGGGCAGTACAACCAATAGTGACCCGGTGTCTCTGCTTCCCCACAATGGGGGCACCGAGTTCTATTGAAGAATAGAAAGCGTGTTAATCTGACATATGCTGGTCACTGACACAGGTTGAATTCGATCTCGATGCGTTGTCTCGCGTCACCGTCCTGAAACGGAAAAACATTATACTTTACACGGTTCTTGACTTATAGAACATAACTGTCATCAGTGCAAATCTTGGAGCGGAAAGTTCCATCATCCCTCCATCAACCAACGTTAGAATCGGCGGTGTCTCATTCATTTCTGCGCTGATTCTAGTGCGGGCGATCTGAAAAACGGCCATTATTTTCTTCTTTGTATAATTAGATAATTTACTCACCGTTAGAAGTTCTCGTTGCTTTTGATCTTCTTTGAAACCCGAGCTGTGCGAATGCCTATCTTCTCTTTTCCTGCTAACAAAGAAAAATAAATAATGCTTCGAATACTTCTTATTGTCGAAGAATAGAAATATTGTTAATCAATTGTTGACTTTCTTTACGTGATTTTTCAAGGCCGGATGGCCGAGGGTTAAGATGACAGCACGGCCCTCTGGGGACCTTGAATCGAACGCCAGGAAATATTTGACGGGCAAATACGTATCCGTCCCGGATACGTTTGGCTCCTTTTTCACCACACGGCCTCCTCATTATGTGCTTGACTGAAGCGTAATGGTCTCGATAGAAAGGTCCTCTTACTGCCCACACAAGGTGGAAACAGTTAAAAAGAAAAAAAAACGTGTTTCAAAATGAAAATGAAATCTACTATATATATCGATATATTATATTTATAAATAGAAATGAAAATGTTTGTTTGTTTGTTCGCTATACACTCCTAGGCCTAGAAAGCNAAAAATTATATATTTAAGTACGTATTTTTAAAAAACGAAACGTGGATATACGTAACGTGCATAACAATGAGTTTGTATGAACCAATTAGGACATAAAAGGGAGTTCGATAGTATAATAAATAAACATTCCACTCATTAAATTATTATATTTACCAAATTGACATTTGCTTTAAATGTATGCCATGTAATATATTGCAAATATTAGTTTGGTATCAAGTACTTACAATAACGAATTCCTTGTTTGCCAATAAATATTTACTTGGATGTCGAACAAATCGTATGTCGTTTCCCTGGAATTTTAAGCAATATATTGGGATCTTGAACATCTCTATAATTAAAATCAAACACTTGGCGAAATGGAATGAAGAAAACATCTACCTGAAATTTTTAATCATATCTTTAATATAGACGTGAGATTCTAAAACTTAGACGAGGTAGAAAGAAAACCAATGATATCTAATTTTCTTTTCGTGCCTTCGTCTTTATATTTCTGAATTATTCTCTTCATCCAGGACAATTAAATGAAATTACAGAATTTTTTTTTATATAAATTACCTTATTTTTTCTATTAAACTCAGATCTCAAATAAACCCCCGAGAAACATGGGAAATACATCAAAATAGGGAAAACTGGGCTAGTTGCGTCAGAGATAAATTGTATCATTGCAGTTTAAAAATCAACTGTAGATATTATCGCATTATCAGTTGTTTACGTAATTACTTCTTGTGTGAAAGGAAAGGAAGTTAATAATCTGGAACCAAAAATCTTCTTTGGATACTTTGTGTAAAATTCTGTTAGTATCAAATCTTCTTATTTTTTAGTAGTGTGCATCTAAATAAAATAAGCATCTTAATATTGTACGATTGTATTAGAAATATGCAAGAGGATTTAAATATCTTTCGTGTGTTTCCGAGTGTTGAGAAAAAAGCATGGAAAGTAGCTTGGCTAGGCTGGGACACACTGTATTATCCACTCGATGGCACGTTGCATCAGAATGGTTTTGCAGTGTTTAAAAATATAAGCATAAAACAAGAAATAATGTCTTCACGTTCCATGATTATTTGAAAATTGCTGATATAAATTAATTAGGTGCTTTGATAACAAAAACTTATTAATATTATCGATGTAGATTTTAATTTTTAAGAAACCTACTATTGCCATACAGGGATACGTTTGTATTTGTTTTGTGTTAATTATAATATTTGCTAATTTCTTTTGTATTTTTTGCAGGGGGTAACGAAGAAAACACATCGTATCTTTTATCGGTAAAATCCTTACTGATTCATCAATAAAAGAAACTTTACATTGAAAAAACAGTTAAGATACCCTTAAAAGAAAAGACCAGCAGAGCTGGAAGAGAAGGAAATAGGAACATTTACTTAAGGATATCTCCATTGAAAACATTTGTCTGGTCCACAAGGGAATTTACAAAAAAAAAAGGATGAAGAGGTGTCCAGTGTCTAAAATGCAACCTGCAATCTCAGTAAATGTGTGCTAGCAAAGACTTACATTACTCATACGCTGACTACATAATGGAAAATGAATAAATTTTTATTCAACGTCTCAAAAAAACTATGTTGCAACTTACCACGTGAGGGACTAATTGCATCCTTCGTTGTTTTATGAAATATTTTAAAACATCCCGATTTTTTTACTTAACAATTTAATTTTAGAATACTGAAGCATGTAGTTATTCAAAACAACTAAAGAATAAAACATAACAAGACTAAAAAAAATGAAAAAAAAAACGTTTCCTCTAAAAATTGATACAGCCTCTCCTACTACCGAATGTAAGATAATGTAATTTACAATGAGAGGTCAGAAATTTAAGTAAAATTCTATTTCTCGTCTTCAAATTGTCTAGAGTCGAACAGTACTTTCTATTCCAAGATTCACGGGAACAATTTTGAAAATAATATAATAAATATTATCGAATATCGAGCGTAAGAAAGTCACTATCGAGTTCGTAAGCTCGTCAGCCAAAAGAACTCGAATTGCCGATGGCGAACCGAAACCGAAAGATTATTGATCGTCGATATCTCCATTCCTACAACGAAGTGTACACGAATAACAACGTAACAACTAAATTGGGTTACGTTGAAGACGGTAATTATTTCAAATGTCATTGCCTTAATCTATAAATACAGTATAACGGTACAGACAATAAATAGTTTTGATAGTTCCAAAAAAGTACGAGTAATTAAGGTATTTCTTTAAATTTTTATAACTCGTTTCCCATTGCATGGTAACAAGCGACCTAAAAAGAACCCCTAAGAATACGTACAGTACGTTTTAAAAATAAACAACACCCATTATTAAACTTTTATATGAAATGTAATTTGTGATTTTCATTATAAAAATCAATCGCATTTTTTACTTTACTTATTTTCATTTTCTAGGAATTAAAAAGTAATTATTCTTTACAAAGACTGTTAAATGCTCAAATCTTCCTAATATTAAAACATAAAATGTTAACTTTCTTAACATTTTCTAAATTTTGTATCGATACTATCGATGTTTTGCATAAGAGTATCGATAGTATCCGAACACTATACAATAGTACAAGGACCTAAAAGGATCACGAGTAACGCGATACCGGATGTGATCCACCCGAATTCTTCCTGCCTCCTAGACGAAAACAGTTAAAGGCACGTGATAGTTATACACTTAACACTGCGAACTCATTCGAAGATACTGTAATTCGATGAAAAAGTGGCTGCAAATCCACGTCAATTTCTTAAAACTACCATAAAAGAATTTACTTCGCGTGCCTTCGGGTCTATCGTTACGGAGGATCCGGTTTCGAATTCGAGCCGGATATTCCTAATTAGGTCGTTACTCGCTATTCACTATTCAAAAAAGACCCAAAATGGCGGCTCCACGAGTAAGGTAACGTTCGTGTCCAGACCTATTTATATAGACTTTCGCTTGTTTACAACATTTATGCTTCGTAACAAATAAATAAATATACAGATATTTTATTTAAAAAACACGTGTCATTGTATTTAAAAACATTATTTTATTTTTTACACGAATATTATCATAAATTTCATTAAAAATCATTAAATTTAAGAAAAGTAAATATATGTTCATCAATATATCTATAAATGTAATACTCATATAAGTTATTTAAAGTATAAATGAACAAATAAATTATTTAATTTATAATTAGTTTGAGTTGTCAAGATATACATTACATTAGTATATATGTTTTAGTACATATACATCAATACATTAGTATATATATTTAAATTTGAAAAAATTCTGCTACTAAAAATAAATCTTTATTTATATTCCGACGAAAACAAATTAAAAAAGCATTCGGTTACTTAATTTATTATATTTCCATTAAACAAAATGAAGAACAATAGAACGTAACAAATAGAAATGATTAATTTAAAGAAAATTAAGAGAAAAAAACACCTTTTTTTAACTTAAAATTTAAAAAAAATGTATTCAGAGACTTTATAATTATCTTTTCATTTTAAATAAATACCGTTATTAGTATGAGTTTGTAAACGTTTTTGATAACAAACATCTCCTATTAATATCTAATTGACAAATTACGTAAATAATTGAAGGCAACCTTTAAAAGAAGTTTACTGTGGTTAGGAATATTACATCATATTTTTATCGATTAATTACTTAAAAATAAAAATAAATCTTACATTAAAATGACTATTAGGCATATATAGATACACGTATACTCGTAAGTATTGAATTATCAATACAATTTATAACTATCGAGGCAGTATATTTCGTTGCGAATTTCTTACTAGTGATACAGTGAACAATGTTACGACTGTTCCGTGCCACGTGGCATTAAATTATCGATTTTAAAATCATATATAAGTTATTCTATATACGATAGATAATAGAAACAAAATAATACCAGAGGATTTGACTTATATAACAAACTATGGCACGTGTAAAACGACTGGTGCGGCTTCCTATTTAGGATTATTACACAATATACATTAAGTTTTCGTTAATAAGTATTATATTTTATATTTTAGTTTAGTTTACAAATCCTCTTTTAAATTAATTAGCAATTAACTGATTGATTTTATATATGTAAAGAGCATATTAATAGACTTTACCGGAAATTATCTGATTCCTGTATATATATGTTGTTAGTCAGTGTCTTTTTTACTTGGCAGGGAGTCACTACCCTGACTCCTGATCTTAAATAAACAATTACCAAAATAACATCTAAAAAGATTTTTAATTTCGTTGATTTCTTAACAGATTTGATTATTTATACATTAAAATGTTTATTCAGACTTGAAAGAAAAGAAAATACTTTCTCAATTAATTAACTTTATTACTTTAAACTTTAAAATAAATTATATTAAATTGCAAATACTTTTCATATATATACTCTAATCGCATTACTAATTCATTAAACAGATTATGCTAGAAAGAATATGAAGAATCGATATAATATGTAACACAATGATACTTCTATGACACCGCGAGGAATGTTTCATTTTATTACATTAATTTAAGTTTAAATTCTAAGTTTGGAGTTTCTATTTTAGATCTTATTTTTAGAAATATTCTTAGTCTAAATATTCAAATTTTTACTGTTTATTAAAATAG